ATGCATTGGAAATGATTTTATGATAAGATTCTAAATTGATTTGTTTACTTTTCTATGCTTGTAAGATGTTGTCAGCTGGAAAAGCTTATCATTTCTGAATAAGGTACTTAACTATAATATGATACATCAGACAACAGGAGATTTGAATTTGAGTAGCAGATTTAATTTTTTTCTAAGTTTGGAAAATGTTAACATCATGAAATCTAGAGTTATACAATGGCAAAGTTTATACTTGAGCCTATAGGTAAACAACTAATCTGCATTTTACTTGAGTCTATAGGCAAACACTGATCTACCTTGTACTTGAGTCTATAGGCAATCACTGATCTGCATTTAACTTGAGTCTATAGAGAAAATTATCTGCCTTGTACTTGAGGCTATAGGCAAACACTGATTTACTTTCTACTTGAGTCTACAGGCAGACATTGGATAGATTTATATTTGATAAACTTATAGATAACCTTTAGCCAGTTTTATGCATGAGTTTTGCTGGCCATTATTTGCCATATTTATGCTTGAATCTATATGTAAATATTGCTCTGGTTTATTCATGAGACTTTGGATTAAATATTGGTTAGATGTATACTTGAGTTTATAGGCAATCACAGATCCATCTTTATAGTTTATTAAACTATAGATAAATATTGGTCATTTTTATACATGAGACTATGGACAAATATTGACCTTGTTTGTGCTTGTGCCTACAAATGAATATTTGTTGGATTTACATTTGAGTCTATATGCAAACAATGATCTGCTTTGTACTTGAGGCAATAGGTAAACATTATTTACTTTTATACTAGCATCTATAGGTAAACATTGGTAGTGTCTACTTGATTCTATCAGTAAAAATTGGATTTATACATGAGTCTACTTGTAAACCTTTATTGAGTTTAAACTTGAGTCTATCAGTGAACATTGGTCGGAATTTTATTTGAGTCTATGGGTTGTGTTTATACTTGAGTCTATCAGGAAACATTAACTGGGTTTATACTTGAGTCTAGTGGTAAATATTGGTTGTTTTATACTTGAGCCTATTGGTAAACATTGGTAGCGTTTATACTTGAGTCTATCAGTAAACATTGACTGGGTTTATACTTGAGTCTAGTGGTAAACCTTTTTTGAGTTTATACTTGAGTCTATCAGTAAACATTGACTGGATTTATTCTTAAGTCTAGTGGCAAACTTTTTTTGGGTTTATACTTGAGTCCATCAGTAAACATTAGTTGGGATTATACTTGAGTCTATCAGCAAAGATTTTTCATGTTTATACATGAGTCTATAGGTTGTGTTTATATTTGAGTCTATATACAAACATTAGTCAGGTTTATACTTGAGTCTATCAGTAAACATTGGTTGGGATTATACTTGAGTCTATCAGCAAAGATTTTTCATGTTTATACTTGAGTCTATAGATTGTGTTTATATTTGAGTCTATATGCAAACATTAGTCAGGTTTATACTTGAGTCTGTCAGTAAACATTGGTTGGGATTATACTTGAGTTTATATGTAGACATTCATTTTGTTTATACTTGAGTCTGTAAGCATCCAACTGGAAATTCTTCATTTTCTGCAATGGTCTTATCACTCTGCAGGCAACAAAATGTAATCTACTTTTTTGTTAAAATGTTTTGAATGGATGTGCATGGTACACTTTGATTCTATAAAAGATTTTCTCAAACAAATATTTAAATAGAAATTAACCACTCTTATTATTTTTGCTGTCTACAAACAACAAAAGAGACTTTCTGACAGCCATCATAATTTGCCTGTACAGTTGATGTCATCAGCATTCTTCCCCCACCCACTAACTGCATAGTCTGCAATGCATTCTGGGTCAATTTTCATAGTGACTCCTGCAGTAATTAGCTAGCCTACAAAATAAGAAGAGGTTGAGTGGGTGTTCATCTGTGTTTCTGCTCTGATTTAATTTGGGAAGCAGATACTGTAAAAGATGATAACTTCTATCTATCTATCTATCTATCTATCTATCTATCTATCTATCTAGCCAGTTCAGTTCATTTTGGATCTATCTATCTATCTATCTATCTATCTATCTATCTATCTATCTATCTATCTAGCCAGGTCTGTTCATTATCTATCTATCTATCTATCTATCTATCTATCTATCTATTCATCTATCTAGCCAGGTCTGTTCATTTCTATTATCATCTATCTATCTATCTATCTATCTATCTATCTATCTATCTATCTATCTAGCCAGGTCTGTTCATTTTCTATCTATCTATCTATCTATCTATCTATCTATCTATCTATCTATATATCTAGCCAGGTCTGTTCATTTTCTATCTATCTATCTATCTATCTATCTATCTATCTATCTATCTATCTATCTAGCCAGTTCAGTTCATTTTGGATCTATCTATCTATCTATCTATCTATCTATCTATCTATCTATCTATCTATCTATCTAGCCAGTTCGGTTCATTTTGGATCTATCTATCTATCTATCTATCTATCTATCTATCTATCTATCTATCTATCTAGCCAGGTCTGTTCATTTTCTATCTATCTATCTATCTATCTATCTATCTAGCCAGTTCTGTTCATTTTCTATCTATCTATCTATCTATCTATCTATCTATCTATCTATCTATCTATCTAGCCAGGTCTGTTCATTTTCTATCTATCTATCTATCTATCTATCTATCTATCTATCTAGCCAGTTCGGTTCATTTTGGATCTATCTATCTATCTATCTATCTATCTATCTATCTATCTATCTATCTATCTATCTAGCCAGGTCTGTTCATTTTCTATCTATCTATCTATCTATCTAGCCAGGTCTGTTCATTTTCTATCTATCTATCTATCTATCTATCTATCTATCTATCTATCTATCTAGCTATTCTGTTCATTTTCTGTTCTATCTATTCATCTATCTATCTATCTATCTATCTATCTATCTAGCCAGTTCGGTTCATTTTGGATCTATCTATCTATCTATCTATCTATCTATCTATCTATCTATCTATCTATCTTTTTCTGTCTCTTTATCTTCCTGCCACTTTCTCTTATTTTTACTCTCAGCTTATCTTCCTCTATCTTTTTCCTCTCTGTCTCTGTTTTTTCCATTGTGTCTCTTCATCTCTCTATCACCATCTCCTTTCTTGTTTACTTTCATTTTTTTTTCCTTGTCACTTTTTTCTCTTTTCCTCTCTGTCACTTTCTTTCTTTCTTTCTTTCTTTCTTTCTTTCTTTCTTTCTTTCTTTCTATGTCTCCATCTGTCTTTTCAATTATGTCTCTTTATCTCTTTCACCATCCCTTTATTTTTACTATCATTTTTTTGTTCTCATTTTTTCCCTCTTCTCCTTTCTTTCTTTCTTTTTTCTTTCTTTCTTTCTTTCTTTCTTTCTTTCTTTCTTTCTTTCTTTTCCTTTCTATCCATTTATCTCCCTATCACTATCTGTTTTATTTTTACAGCCATTTTTCCACTTCTCACTTTTTGTCTCTTCTCTCCCCTGTCTCTTTCTTTCTTTCTTTCTTTCTTTCTTTCTTTCTTTCTTTCTTTCCTTGACTATCTTTCTTTAAAATGTTAGTAGCAATTTTATGTTCTTTCTTTCTTTTTTCCTTTTGCTATCAATCTTTCTTCCTTTGTTTACAATTTTCACTTTTCTGATTTTACTCTCAATCTTTCTTTCTCTCCATCTTTCTTTTCTTTTCTTTTTCTTTCTTGTTCTATCAGTCACTTTCATATTTTACTATCATTTTGTCTTTCTTACTTGTTTTTTCTTTTCACCTCCATCCTTTCATTCTTTCTTTCTTTCTTTCTTTCTTTCTTTCTTTCTTTCTTTCTTTCTTTCTTTGTCACCATCTGTTTTTCTTTCTGTCTCTTTGTCTCTCTATCAGTGCCTGCATTAATTTTGCAATCATTTTTCTCTTTCTCACTTTTTCTCTCTTTTATACTCTATCATCTTTTTCTTTCTTTCTTTCTTTCTTTCTTTCTTTCTTTCTTTCTTTCTTTCTTTGTGTCTCTTTGTCTCTCTATCAGTTCCTTTTTTATTTTTATGACCATTTTCTCTTTCGCACATTTTTTTCTCTTTTATGCTCTTTTTCTTTCTTTCTTTTTTCTTTCTTTCTTTCTTTCTTTCTTTCTTTGTGTCGCTTTGTCTCTCTATCAGTTCCTTTTTTATTTTTATGACCATTTTCTCTTTCTCACATTTTTTCTCTTTTATGCTCTTTTTCTTTCTTTCTTTCTTTCTTTCTTTTTTCTTTCTTTTTTCTTTCTTTTTCTTTTTTCTTTCTTTCTTTCTTTCTTTCTTTGTGTCTCTTTGTCTCTCTATCAGTTCCTTTTTTATTTTTATGACCATTTTCTCTTTCGCACATTTTTTTCTCTTTTATGCTCTTTTTCTTTCTTTCTTTCTTTCTTTTTTCTTTCTTTTTTCTTTCTTTCTTTTTTCTTTCTTTCTTTCTTTCTTTCTTTCTTTCTTTCTTTCTTTGTGTCTCTTTGTCTCTCTATCAGTTCCTTTTTATTTTTTTATGACCATTTTCTCTTTTCACATTTTTTCTCTTTATGCTCTTTTTTTCTTTCTTTCTTTTTTTTTCTTTTTCTTTTTTTCTTTTTTCTTTCTTTCTTTCTTTCTTTCTTTTCTTTTCTTTGTGTCTTTTGTCTCTCTATCAGTTCCTTTTTATTTTTATGACCATTTTTTCTCTTTCTCATTTTTTCTTTTTTATGCTCTTTTTTTCTTTTCTTTCTTTTCTTTTTTTTTTTTCTTTCTTTTTCTTTCTTTTTTTTTCTTTTTTTTTTCTTTCTTTTTTTTCTTTTCTTTCTTTCTTTTTTGTGTGTCTTTTTGTCTCTATCAGTTCCTTTTTTATTTTTATGACCATTTTCTTTCGCATTTTTTTTTCTCTTTTCTGCTCTTTTTTCTTTCTTTTCTTTCTTTCTTTCTTTTTTCTTTTCTTTCTTTCTTCTGTTTTGTTCTCTCTCTCTTTCAATCTTTCTTGATGTCTATCCCTCCCTACCGTTATAAAGACTAAACATGATGAGTAAAAAAAGAAAGAAAAATCTTAAAAAGAATTTTTTATTTTTTTTCCTCGTTTTTCTTTCTTTTTCTTTTTACAAGATCGATTGAGGCACTTGATGGTACATATCTGTCTGTTTATCTCAACTTACCCATCCTGTTAACATAGCAAACAGCGCCCACAGCAACGTTGGGTCAGAGTTCAGAAAATAATGGGTTAATTGACAGACAGCCATTTGTATTTCAGTTTTATAATTACACATCAAATACACTGGAGCCGTGGAAAGTGAGATGAAAACGTTGGTAATGGCTTCAAGATGACATAGCAATACTCGATAGTGAAGATAGCTTTCAGTTAAGGAAAATGCATTTCTAGTATCAAAACAGTTGATTTCTTTAGCAGTGTTTAACCCACTAATACCTACCATCCTGTTTTAATAAATCTCGTTCATCTATGTTTTTTTTCACCCACTAAAAAGCCCAAGAGCCACACAAGCTAGAGGCTACTGACAGGAATTGTATGGTGATTATGTAAGCATAGGAGGTCAAAAGTATAGGGCACCCAGTCAGGATCAAACACACTATCCTGTTGTTATTGATCTAGCCAGAAAAGCTTGTTAACCATTACCCCATTACTGTGTAATGTATGAGTGCAAGAAAGGACAAGAATTGAAGTTCTTACTATTTATTCTGGTACATACAGAATTGTGGCATGAATATTGATTTACCAAGCGTAGCTTAGATGTGGCACAAGGCCGAAAGTATGGGGCACCCAGTGAGGATCAAAATCACTACTCAGTCGTAATTGTTCTAGCAGGACAAGTTTGCTAAACATTACACCATCTCAAGGCGCCCAGTAGTGATTTTCCAAACGTAGCTTAGATATGGCACAAGGCCGAAAGTATGGGGCACACAGTCAGGATCAAACTCACTACTCAGTTGTAATTGTTTTAACGAGACAAGCTTGTTAACCATTACACCGCCTCAAGGCACCCTGGTTATTTTATAAGCCAAGCTTAGATGTGGGACAAGACCAAAAGTATGGGGTACCTAGTGAGGATTGAACTCACTTTTCAGTCACTGATCTAGCAAATAGGCTTGCTAACCATTACACTATTCCAGCGTACCCAAAGAATTGAAGTTCTTGGGGGATGTGCAGGAAAGCTAATGGCCGACTCTCGATTTAATAAGTGCTCAGTCGGGGGATATACGGAGTCAATATTAAACAGGAAACAATGGATAAAAGATCTACTCCTGTTTGAAAAATAGGGGAGAAGTGTGAACAGGGCAATAGGTGAACTGATCTTCTACAATTAAGAGAGGGAAAAATAATTAGTGAATCAAATTTCAGAGCTCAGTTGAAGACGTTAAGATGTATGGTGTGGAAGTAGCTATAGAAGTGTGATGGTCCGGTTCGTTGTACCACGGTGATAGTCCAAGATAGAACCAATAAAGAAGAACTCGAACACAGATATGGAATAACACAGATATATTACAAACAGGAATATATACAGAGAAGTAGAAAGTGTTAGTATGAACAATCAGGTTTAGTAGTAATTGTCTGAACGCAACTCTGTTTCGGTCTGCCTCTGACTGACTGACAGACTTCACTCCAGACTTCAGACTGAACAGTATTTAGTCCCACCACCACGAGGGTATCATGTGGCACAAGGCCGGTTTAACGTGGGATCTCTGAGCCCGTGGACTCGGCCAAAGATATGCCCTATGAAACCGTATAAACGGGTTCAGGGTCAGTTTACCTCCCTGAAAGAGACTCCGCCCTTCGGCATAGCCTTGTTCGGGTTTCTCCCCGCCCGAAGGCAGAGAGTTCAACCGATCAGCCGGTCAGCCAGTCGTTCTACTTCAAACTGAACAGTATTTAGTCACCCCCCACCACAAGGGCATCATGTGTCACAAGGCTGGGGAGGAGTGTGACAGGTGATCCCATCCAAATTATCCAGTTTGGTTTGTGTTTTTGCTATCCCTCTTAATCCCCGTTCTGCAAATTATACAAAAATTCGTCAGATAGTTTATTTACTTCTTTTGTTGTCTCTCTTCCCTTCAGTGCCTGAGTCCATGTTCCTCGTTATGTGCTCAAGAAATTTCAAGTATCTTGTTCCGATTCTAAGCATAATTGACCTTTTTATTTTCTTTAAAACATTCTAATTAGTCCCTTGAGTGTCTTCTTCTTCTTCTTCTTCTTCTTCTATGAAGAGATTTCCCAGTATTGGCTACCATATGGGATGACCAATATTGCATATAATTTGAGCAACTTTATTTCCTGCATTATTTACATTATCTGGACTGTTATCCACATCTTCATTGCTGTATTCATGATGTTTCGGCCGTTGTATGCTTCGGCCTTCTTCAGGTGATTGGAATTTCGAACCGAACCCTTTATTTCGCCCACTGGGGGGGGGGGTAGATTGTTCTAGTTCCACATGCCATGCCTCTTCTGGATGTTTCAGTTATTTCCCTTTAACTCAACTCAAGTTTTTTGCTTCACCACTGCTGTGGCCTGGTATTGAACTCATAAGTCTTTTGGTCTAGTCACTGGATCTAACCTTTCTTTCTAACAAATTTTTTGTTATTTCTTGATACTTTGCTTAGCTTTTTTAAAGTCATCTTTCCTTTTTCCAATGCACCTCCAGACTTTGGTATCACATTCTGTTAAAATAGTTCATAGATTTTGATTTTTAAGTTTTTGGTGTCATCAACTTGTAGTTCGTATTTTTCGCCGTTCCTCTGACTGACGACCATATATTTGGACTTCTTACAATTGATGATTAGTCCTTTCTTCTGGCTTTCCTTCGTCTGTAGGAGTTCTTGCCATTTCCTTTCTGCTATCTGCTATCAACACTGTGTCATCTTCTTATCTTATGTTATTGAGATTGTGGATGCCAATAATGACTCCTTGTTGGACTTCTAATTCTCTCATAATCGGCTCACTGTAAAGGTTGAATAAGTCTGGCAAGAAGACACATCCTTGTCTTATGCACCTTTCGTTTTGTTCATTTACTGAATTATTTTTTTAATTTTAGTATCTGTTTTCTGGTGGTTTGCTTCCATGATAAAATCTGGATTGATTTAATAACTTTCCAAAATAAATCAAGCTTACATAGCATTTCCAATAATTCTTTGTGTATTACATATGACACTTAACCACTTAACTGACAGACTGAATCAAAATTCCTACTCAAAGAGCTTCATGCAGTATCCTAATTGTGAGGCAAATATTTGCTATCACATGCAACTGAGGAGTTGATTTAGTGTATTAATATTATTATACAGGTACCATATACACCAGCTAGATTTTTCCATAAAAGCTGTCTGTGTGCAATCTGTGGAGTTAAGCTTCAAGATAGGACATCTATACGTAGACCTGTTTAACATGTGTAATATTGGAGGAATCGAGACTTTTATCATACAGTCTCAGTTACGGTGGACCGGTCATGTCTTGAGAATGTCTGATGACAGGATACCCAAGATCCTAATGTACAGCCAGTTAGATCAGGGCTACAGTAAAGTAGGACGCCCATGGCTAAGATACAAAGACAAGCTGAAAAGCAACTTGTCAGAAGTCAATATACCACATAACACCCTTGAGCGCTTAGCCTTGGAGCGGGTAGAATGGAGATCAACCTGTTTTAGTGGACTCAGTCTACTTGTCTGAATCATCTTCAAGAAGCGAGAGCAAGATCTATAAGGTCAACCAATCTAACAGTGATCTCATCTCACAATCCTCACACTTGCTCCATATGTGGCCTCCTTTGTAAATCACTAGCGGGTCTTAAATGCCACTTAAGATTAGCACATAAACTTTCATAACTGAATCAATTAGCTGGCAGATCCTCATACGTCGAAATCGATGGGAGAGTCCATTATATATAATAACCAACAAATACTATTGTTAAAAGACTGCTCAATACAGAGTAGAGCAAATGTAATCATTTATTTGAATTATAACATAAAAATGCTATAAAATCACTACAAAAATAGCCATTTTGTTTCAACACTTCTGGTGTCATATCAAGTGATAGTGTTGAAAGAAGAAACTTCTACATTCAACAGCATCACTTGATAAGACACCAGAAATGTTGAAACAAAATGGCTATTTTTGTAGTGATTTTATAGCATTTTTATGTTATAATTTTCAAATAAATGATTATATATATATATATATATATATATAATATACATATATAATATACATATATACATATATATATATATATATATATATATATATATTGTCATCCACAGATAGACTGTTTCACTGTATCACAGCTCATCAGTCTGGCTAGACGTTTGGTTGCCTCAAGCTAGAATCGAAACCTAGAGATTCTACCCCTAAGCATTTTGTGCACAGCAGAGATGAAGGTGAATTTAAGCGTATTTGTTTTTTTAGATAAACACACCGTGACTGAGAAAGTTCAATTCGTCTTACCGAAGAGTCTTGCAATATTATCTTAATAAACTGCTTCGCTTTTGGCATACAACTTTGGTCATCCCAGTATGTCTTTAGATCTCAGTGTCACACTTTTCGTCCGTTGTTAGAACATTTCCTCGATATCTAACTCTTTGTACTTGTTTGATTTTGGCATCTCCAATATGTAATTTGCATTTTGGGCTCGTCCTTTTGCTGGCAACAATGGATTCTGTCTTATCACTCTCCTTCGCTACCTTCTGTATTATTCGCATATCTTCCCCAAATATGTCACTGTTACCTAACAGTTCCCAACTAGATTAGAAAATTTTGTCTGAATTTCTGGGATGAGGCGTTATGCATGCTTCCCTGAACATTTCAGTGTTAATCTCTTCTGGTCAAAGGTCAGCTGTTATCTATCCTCCCCATCTTTTTCTTACTTCCTCCTGTTATTTTTAGATCACTCACCTCATTCAGCAACCCGTATACATTTACAGTCAAAAATTTGAATTATAAATGATTAGTATGACAGAAAAATAGTTGTGAAAAATATTAGGTTCTTATATAAATGTGTTCTTTTTTATAATTTA